ATTTCTAAAGGTCATAGCTAGTGTACTACACTGTCTAACTGTAAAATAACTAAATGTTAAAAGATAATCAGTTCTTTTTATGTCCAGATAAAACAGTATTAGCACACCCAATTTTATCTTTGGACTACCCCAAGCACAGCAATTTTGACAAGTTCAAAGCCATCTAATACTTCAACATGTGACATAAGAGTTTATTTTCAGTAGACTAAATATAGTATCAATAGCTGTTTACTTACTCCAAATAAACGGACCTTCTGCCAAAGGTCATATAATTAGTATCAAAGCATGTATATCAAGTTATCCAAGTCCTTTTCAACATCATTTCCCTAGTTTATGTTCTCATTTGCCTAGACTAAGGCAACAGCCTCTTAACTGGTCTGCTAGTTTTCGGTTCATCTTGTGTTTTGCCTCTCCAATTCATCCTCCATAGCTACACTAGTTCCAAGGTGATCTAATTCTTTGCCGCAGCCCAGTGGTAGAGTACATACTTATGTACATACTTTGCTTCAAGCTCACTTGAATTTGACCAGCCAGGTCAGGTTCAAATTCAAGCCTCCACACTAATGCTATAAGAATTAAAAAAAAAAAAAAAAAAAGGAATTTTTATTAGAATTTTTTCAGTGCTTCAAAGTCTTTAAACACAGGGGCTGCCAAGATAGCTCAGCAGTCTAAAGTGCCTGCTTAGGCAAGCACACACAGACTGCTGTTTGATCCCAGGTACCACATATTGCACCATCCATGCCCCCAAGATGGGCTGAGCTGGCCCAAAAAACAATCAAACAAACAAACACCAAACCCAAAATGAAAACCTAGGAGATTCTAGCTTTCAACCTTTCATAATCTAGATTTTGTTTATTAGACTAGTCTAATTATAAAAAAATTTTATTGTATCCACACTAAACTGCTTGAAAGGTTCAAGTAAATTATGCTGTATAACAGCATTTGCCTTAAAAAATAAGAGTTCTTTTGGTCTAAAATGGAGTTTCCAAAAAATAGAAAAAATAAAAATAAAATAGAGTTTCCTTATGTCTTTGATTATGCAACTTCTTTTTCTTTTTTGATTTTTTTTATAGGTGGGGGAAACTGTTTCTTTTTTGAGACAGGGCCTTGCTATGCAGTTTGGGCTGGCTTTGTGCTCACTTTTGTAACCTCCAGGCCAGTCTTGAACTCCCAGTGATACTCCTGTCTCAATCTCCTGAGAGAGCTAGGATTAGAGAGTGCTGAGATTACAGGCGTGCCACCACACCTGGTTCTTGATTATATAACTTCTAAAAACTCAGCTGAAACATCACACAGTAAGCTTTCTCTTATGGTCCCATCCACTGCTATTGAATCATGTTATTTGACTTTTATTTTTTTCTGACTGAATTTGGCATACATATACCTTGAATGTAAAAAGCCAATGAATTTGGCTTCTGACTGGATGTGGGGAATAAGTAAAAAGGAGAAATTAAGAATAATTCCTAAGGGGCCAGCCAGATAGCTCAGTGGATTAAAGCACTCAATCCCCAGTGTGCTGTGCTGGCCCTCCCATGGGGCATGCTGAGATGGAGATTGAGACTGGGCGTGGTGGCACTTGCCTATAATCCCAGTGCTTGGGAGGCTGAAAAACAAGAGGATCACTAGAAGTCTTATCTGTGTGGTGAGACCCTGTACTAAATACATTAAAAAATAAAAATAAAAAAGAATAATTTCTAGATTTTAGCCTGAACAAATGGTTGCACCATTATATTAAATGTGAGGCCAGGCATGGTGGTAAACTGTAATCCCAGCACTCTGGAGACTGAGGCAGGAACATTGCAGCAAATATGAAGTCAGCCTGAGTTCCACAGTGAGTTCAAGACCAGCCTAAATTACAGAAGGAGTTTCTGTCACAGAAAGAAAGAAAGAAAGAAAGAAAGAAAGAAAAAGAAAAGAAAAGAAAGACCAAAATACTTATTGTCTATTACAACAGCAGAGTTTTCAAATTGGGAAATCTTAAATTCAGTTGGAAAAGTGACATGCTACATACAGAAATTAAGGTGCCACGAGACCTAGATAGTATCTAAAGTCATGAATATTAATTACTTGGGGAGACTGAGTAAAATCTGATGCTTTGGTATTTTATTAATCTGGATGAGGGCAAGAGGATCACAAGTTCAAGCCTAGCTTGGGCAACTCAGGGACTTAGTGAGCCTTGTCTCAAGTAAAAAATAAAAAAGGGTTGGGGATATAGCTCAGCCAGGGGGGCCTTGATTCAATACCCAGTACTGGGTGAAAAAGTTTTGAAAAGGAAAAAGGACAAAGAAAAGATGGAAGCCAGACTGGAAGGAGTATGCCAAGGATGTGAAAAGGCACAAATTCTGAGACAGTTTTGAAGTTTAACTGTGAATGGAGCAGAAAAAAAATGGCACAGCTGCTGGGAAGGGTGAGGATAATTATAGAAGCAATGCTTTGTGTTACACTTTTACACTCTACTAAAATTACTTTTCTCAAATTTACTTAGGAGCAGAATTTTAAATTTTCTACTTTTCTCTCTATCATGGGTTCTCAGTACATGTTTGTGGGATTGTGTAGAACTTAACTCTCAAGTTCCTATCTTAAAAATGGAGTGGAAAATAGCACTCTGTTTACAATGGAAACAAAGTGGAATTTGGAATCTGACTCAAGTTTAAACATCACATTTTTCACTAACAAGCTACATGGCCTTAAGCAATCTACTTTCTTTCTCAAAAAACCTAAGTTTGCTTAAGAGCTCAACATATGTAGTTATTTGGTCTGAAAGCTACGTCAGTTAAACGAATATGTACATAAATTATAGTATACAGTGACTCAGAGGGTGCTCAAAATGTTTAATACTCTATTTTCAATGGAAGGTAAATATAATCATGCACAAACCACATATAAACACATGTAAATACACACAGTGGAGAAATGTTAAATTTAGTTCCTAACATTTCACAATATTTCTTGACAACTAGTATATTAAAAAAAAAAAGAAAAAAAAGCAAAGCAAAGCAAAAAATATTTAGACCTGGCAGACAGCCTGGAAAAGTCCATCTAGAAACACCATTACAGTTTCACATTTCATTACATCATCTAACTGAAGTGTTTACAAATATGACGGAAAGTACAACAGATACAAATAGAAAACAGAGAACAGAACAATATGGGGAATTGTCTAGGACAATACAGTGAGCCAAAAATAGAATGTAAAGCTTTTAAATTGAGATTAGCTTACAGATAACTTAAATCACCCCAAAAGAAAAAAAAATCAATATTGGTCTAATTTACTGCTTATTAGGCTCTTCAATCTTACTTGTGCCCATAACAGTGCTTTTCTATACAAGAGTCACTGACCCATAAAGACATAAATGAGTGCTGGGAATCTACCCCAGTTATACAGCACTTGTGCAACATGCCCAAGGCCCTGGATTGGATCCCTAGCCTCCCTCTCCCTCTCTCTGTGTGCCTCCCTCTCCCTCTCTCCCTGAATCGCTTCCACCGAACTAGAAATAAAATTCTATAAAGCTGACTCTTCATCATTTGGGTTTCAGCTCTAATGTCATCTCAGAAACTCTGTAAAGCCAATATTGCTTATTTTGTTTCCTTTTTGTGACAGAGTAAGTCCCTGACTTTGGAACATTGAGTTGCCAGTTTTCACAGTTGTACTAAGCAAGACTGCCGGCTTACAAGTAAATCTGACTTACAAACAACCCTCTCAGAACAGACTTGGTTCACAAGTTGAGGGCTTACTGTACTGTGGGTTGAGCTCTGAGCTATTCCCCATAACACTTCCTATTTTTTGAGTCAGGGTTTCCCCAAATTGCTCAGGCTGCTCTCCCACTCTCACTCCTCCTTCCTTAGCCTTTTCAGTAGCTAGGATTACATGTGTCTGTGCCTTAATCGCTCACTGTTCGTAACTTTTTATATTCACCATTGTTATGGTTTGTGTCTAGTTGTCCCCCCAAAACCTCACGCAGTCATGGGGTGGACATCCAGACTTTGTGACTGACTCATGATCAGCTGGGATTATGTGTGTATTATACCCAGCCTGAGGCAGATAGCCTGAATGTGACTTAAGGGAGACAGACTTGCTCTCTGTAGCCATTATTGTCCCTACTCCTCTCTTTGCTCTCTTGCTCTTGGCTGCTGCCATGAAAGGTTGCTCTCTGCCATGTGCCACTCTGCCTTGGAGTCAGCTGAGTGTGGACTAAAATCTCCAGTAACTGTGAGCTAAATAAACCTTTCCTTCTTTCATTTTGAGTGTCAGGCATTTGTCCCAGCAACAAGAGAAGAGTAACTGAGACAACCACAAAAACTGGCATCTTTTGTTCAATATCACTAGTGGCTAAAACTGTGCTTGGAAATACGTGGGCATTAAATAATTATATAAACTAGGTGGTGCACACCTATAATCTCAGCCCTTGGGAGGCTAAGACAACAGGATTACTACAAATTCAAGACTAGTCTGGGTTACATAGCAAGTTCGGGGCAGTCTGAACTATACAATGAGACCCTGTCTCAGAGAACAAAATCAAAACATTATATAATGAATACACACATGAATGATTTCCAAAATCTCTACACATTTTATAGCAAACTCTAGGCAAACAAAGATACCATCATCTAGAATGACAGACACTACTGGCCCATAGAAAGCTTGCATTTAGACAATTTGCTGTCCCTGATGCCCTAGTCTGCCTCAGGTGTCTAAGACTAATTAGCATTCAGTGCTTCCCCCATTTTAGCTTTTGTGGTTCAACCACCTACTTATATCACTTTCTCAGTGGTCTGATTAAAATAAATGTCAACGGCTTGAATACTTTTCTTCACATGGTTCACTAGCGCTCCAGGGAAATAGCAGAGGTCCCAGGATGGTCTTTGTGACTCTTCATTGGCTCCCTTTGGAAGGTCCAGGCCTAGCCCCTGCTCCAGCATGACAGCATAATGCAGTTCTGACATAAGCCTGTAACTGCTTGCTACATAATCAGACTCCTAAGGTCTCCCAGCAGTGATCCATGATTGTGACCAAGCCTGAGCCTGAAGGAAACAACAGTGCACCCATTTCTAATAATCCGTTAAAACATGGTGATTATGAAATTCTAGGAGTACAGAGATATGCTTCACCTGAGGATATTAAAAAGCCTTGTCATAAAGCAGCACTTAAAAGGAATCCTGATAAAAATCCACATAATAAAGGAGCAGCAGAAAGAAAATTGAAAGAAGTACCTAAGGCATATGAGGTATTATCTAATGATGAAAAGCGGGACATTTACAGTAAGTATAGCAAAGGATTAAATGACAAAGGTGGAAGTGACTTTGATGACAAACGTGATTATGGCTCCACAACCTGTAAGCCAGATGATGTCTTTAGTGAAATACATGGTGAAAAGGACACATTTTCGTTTCACTCCTCTGAAGACTCTTGAACTTTTTAATAGTCCAAGAAGCTCATATGGAAGCAGAAACACAAGTAGAAGTGCAGGATTTCTTTTACTCTACTCCTAATGAACATTTCGCTCTTAAGACTTTTTCTTCATTTGATACAGGATAGTCTTTTTTAAAATGCATTTGGGGGGCTGGTGAGATGGCTCAGTGGTCTAAAGCACCTACTTAGAACAAGCTTAGCAAAGCACAGGGACCGCGGTTCAATCCTCCAGCACCACATGCCAGCCAGCCCCGCCCCCTGGTGGGCTGAGCTGGCCACACACACACACACACACACACAAATAAATAAATAAAAAATTAAAAAATAAAATGCATTTGGTACAGGGTGTTCAGGGTTTTACAACGAAGATTGGACTCATAGTGATCCTCCCATTTTTAGCCTTCCAAGTGCTGGGATTACTGGTGTGTGCCACCACACCCAGTCTCAATCACTGCCTCAGCACAACCCAGAAGCAGGAGCAGGGTCGGCACAGCAGGCCAGGATTGAACCCCGGCTGCTGTGCTCTGCCTAAACAGGTGCTTTAGTCCACCGAGCTATCAGGAGGATATAGTCTTTTTAGCTAACTTTGTTTTTTTATGTATCTGGTACAGGGTCTCAATATGCAGCTCTGACTCCTAGTGATTCTCCTGTTTTCAGCTTCCTCAGCACTGGGATTACAGGCATGTGCCACCATGCCTGGTCTCAGTGCCCACAGGGGCGTGGTCACAAAGAGGAGCAGGGCTGTGAACCTCAGTCTCTGTGCTTAAGCAGGCGCTTAGTCCACTGAGCTATCTCGTCAGCCCTTAGGATACAGCCTTATGATTGAGACTATGATGAAAGTCTTCCTGCATGCTCTTCCTTGGCATTTGATGATACTGGGATGGGCAGTTGCATATACGTTACAACTTCAGGGAAGACTAATGACAGAAATATGAATTTAAACAAAAATACTGAGACCAATCAAGAAAGAGAAACTAAAGATGATCCTGAGTGGAAATTTCTCCTTGTAAATGACATGGGAGACAAAGAGGACTTTGCAGAAAAATACAGCTGGAGAAAACATTCAAATGATTATTCATCAAATTTCCACAGCTCCCAGCATTGTCTCAGTATGCTTTTATGGACAATGATGAGCACCCTACACCTTGGGTCCCTAACAACTGGGATCCTTCTATTTTCTCAGTAATGCTCAAAGAAGTTTATAAGAGTGGGAGCAAAGAAAAGAAGCACAATGAGGTACAGAAGTCAGCCAAAAGGCATTGCTAAACTCTTTAGATATACGATAACATTTGAACATGATTCTGTGTTTTGGTTAATCAGAGTCTTGTACATAACATTTTAATACTATCTAAGGGTGGTCTTTTAGTATTTAAGTTTGTAGACATTTGGTTAGTAGCTATTTGGATTAGGAATGTTAGAAAAATATGAATTTGTGATAACAACTGGTGATGTTAAGATTGGAAATTGCAGACTTTAAAAAGTTTATTTTGTTTATCTATTTGTCCTTTTTTTAAAGGCAGGGTTTCATTATGTAGCCCAGGCTGACCTTAAACTCAATGATCTTTCTGCCTCAGCTTCCCAAATGCTGGGATTACAGGCATGCACCACTACCTCCACTTCAGAAATGTCTTTGCTAGAGTTTATGATCTATTTCATTTTCTTTACCTAATGAGAACCTCAATACAAATTGTGAAATACATTAGGAGATAAAATACATACTAAGATACATGTCAACAGCTTGAGTACTTTTTTCACATGGTCCACTAGAGCTCCAAATAGCAGAGGTCCCAGGATGGGTCTTTGTGACTCTTAACTGGCTCCCTATGGAAGGTCCAGTCCTGGCCCCTACTCCAGCATGACAGCATAATGGAGCCCTCTCTGACATAAGTCTGTATTTCTGCTTGCTACATAATCAGACTCCTAAGATGTCCCAGCAGTGATCCATGACTTCACGTGACCAAGCTTGAGCCTGAACTGTTTCTCTAAGACTATGAAACTATTCTGATGATGTCCCAATTGACTTGATATATAGTATGACACACTGAGTATTTTAAATTAAAAGTAGCCAGATTTATATTTGCATAAAATGTTATACTATTTACAACAGTCAAAAAAGGAAAGTAAGCCAAATTCCAGCAACAGATGAATGAACTACACACACCCAATGGTGGTAGTGGGGGTATTCAGTTTTAAAAAAAGGAAATCCTGTTAAATATAACGTGGATGGGTCTTGAAGATATTGTGCTAATTCAATTAAATGAGGTATCTAAAGTAGTCAATGGGGCCGGGGAGATAGCTCAGTGGAAGAAGCACTTCCCTGGCAAGAGCAAGGGCCCAAGTTCAATCCCTGGTTCCACAAATAAATAAATAATTAAAAAAAATAATGTCGTCAAATTCATAGTAATAGATAGTAGACTGGTAGGGCCGGCCAGGTAGCTCAGCGGACTAAAGCACCTGCTTAGGCACAGCACAGTAGCCAGGGTATGATCTCCGGTGTGTCATGCTGGTCCCACCCTGGGGGTGTGCTGAGACCATGACTGAGACTGGGCATGGTGGCACGCATCTATAATCCCAGTGCTTGGGAAGTTGAAAACAGGAGAATCACCATGAGTCTGATCTACGTAGTGAGACCCTGTACCAAATACATTTTTTAAAAAAAAAGGTAAACTATTAAAAAAAAAAGAATGGTGATGACCAGAGCCTGGAAAGGGGGTTACTTAATGGGTATGAAGCTTCAGATTTACAAAATAGAAATGTTTCATAACAATGTAAATATACTTAACACTACAAAGAATTTAACGTGGTTAATACAGTAAATTTTATGTAGTGATTATTTCAAGCCAGTACTAACCAGTATTTCTCAAAACAACCTGACAGTCTGTTTTGTTTTTTGAAACAGTCTTGCTATACAGTTTAGGATGGCCTGGAACTCACTATGTAGGCCAGGCTGGCCTCAAACTCATGGTGATCCTCCTACTTCAGGTTTGCAGATGAAGTGATTACAAGTGTGCCCCACCACACCTGGCACAACATTACTACTTTTATTGTTTTGTTTCGTATTATTTATCTTTCCAATGGGTATATATGTGGGGAAGAAAAGTAATTTATTACAGGAAAAGTCTAGGCACAATTAGCATCAAAAGTATTTTGATAAATTGAAATCATAAAAACTTAGGATATTTTAACTTCTACTTATCTAACTGTACAGCCCATTTCTCCACTCTCAGCAAAGAACTAAAAATTCAAATTTAGTCATTTTATGCGACTCTCAAAATTCATCAATGGTCTATAGCTTAGAAGAAAAGGTTCGTTTTCTAACATAACCTGCAAGCCCCTCCATGAACCAGCCCCTAGGTTTTTCTCCCAACTTTGCATTTTATCACACATTTATGTTATAGTCTAACCGTTTACAAAATGTGTTCCAGGTTTACCAGTTCAAAATCCACCACAGAAAAGGGGCTCCATGGTCAAGTTTATTTTGCAAATTACTGCCAAATACATCTCCCCGTCATGCAGTGTAAGTATTTGAACAGATTCACTGTGGGGCAGCAGCTATTAATATGCTAAATCCGCCTGCATGGTATATGATTCAGTGTTCACTAAACTTCGTATTTATCACATTACTGATTTGAAATGACACACACCGACAAAACATGGTTTCCCTTGTTCCTGGGCTCCTTCATCTTGTCATTACAAAGACTTTTCACATACAAAAAGCCTCAGAGTGTTCTCAGTTCCTCTAAGAGGACCTGCCCAAGGTATTCGTGATACTAAACACAAAGTTCTTGTGTGCACTCGGGGGCCAGCTTCCGAACCAACTCTTTCTGAAAACATGAAAACAGGATTTTAAGTTGACCCAGCAGAAATATGAGCTATAGAATGTAATTGTGTCACCTAAACAAATGTGGTGATAACTGACACAACTTCTGAGTCCGGGTAACTCTGAAGACAGTTCCTTTGGGGGATGGCACACACTTTTCTCTAGGCAGTCGTCTGAGCTTCCCCAAACCTCACGTAGCAAGAACACAGGGCCCACCCTCTTCCAGGCGTAGCCGGTAAGTATGAAGTCCACGGAGGCCCCAACCAGAAGGTTTTGTAGAATCAGGGACCGACTGAGACCAATTCGGATCCCTCTGAGCGGACACTGTGGGAGGAAAGTCTAACCTGAGAAACCGCGTGCGCTTGGGATGGCGGGAAGCAGCTTGAGACTTGAGAGGAGCCAGGGCATGACCGCCAGCTCACACGTCAGGTGAAGAGAGGAAGTCAGCTTGCAGAGCCGTGTCACTAGGAAACCAGGCCAGCGACCCCGCCCCTTCCGGAGGGCGCCGCTAGCGGGCTTTCATTCTGGGCGGCGCAAAATGATGACGTCACGTCCCGGACTAACGCTGAGGCCTGTGGCCCTTTTTTTATTTAAGGAATCGAGCTACACATGGCACCCCCATCCACAGAATATCTGATTCTAGGTGGCTCTCTGCCAGTTCGAAAGCGTTCACATAGGTGTTTCCATCTATCCTGGCAACTGGTTGAATAGTATAAGAATGTCTGTGTAGCGAGGCAGGCAAGAGCACAAACAGCCACACTTCTAGAAGATTCTAGCCAGTGCGCAGGAGCAGATGTGGAAGGGCAGGAATGAGCGAGCGAAGGACCCAGGGTCACGAGGCCGCTGGGGGGCGGAGCCGGCTGCCGGAGACGTTCTAGTCAGTTCTGCCTCGCGGCAACCGCCCCCTTCTGCACGTCGTGCGGAGCCATCGCCCGTGCCTGGGATCGGCCCGCAGCCTCGTCAGCAGCCGCCCGTGGTCTGCCGACCATGGATCCCCGCAAAGTAAACGAGCTTCGGGCCTTCGTGAAAATGTGTAAGCAAGATCCGAGCGTCTTGCACACCGAAGAAATGCGCTTCCTGAGGGAGTGGGTGGAGAGGTGAGACCCGGGCCTGGGGACCGTTGGAGCGGGAAAACGGGGAGCTGGGCCCACCATAGTGGCGCGGCGCGGAGAGGAGCGGGCTCGGAGCCTCCTGGGGACCCCGCGCCCTCGCCTGAAAAGGGGGCGACTTCGAGGAGTTATGGAGGATCGCGAACGTGGGACTGTACGAGGCGGGGAACGCGGGCCGAGCCGGGCTCCCCGCGGCCCCCAGGCGCGCGTCTCGCGCTCGCTAGATGCGGACGATTGCGCGCCCTGGTGGGCCTGAGACGGGAGGGAAAGTGGGGCGAGAAGGGCAGAACTTCGGTGTAGCGTGGGGAGTTTTTTTAATTCTCTGGCGTCCCGAGTGAGTCGCGTTGGCACATCGGAGCGTTTTTATGTACTATCCCATTAAATGTTACTGCAAGGTTAGTTTAGTACGTTATAGTAACTGAGCAGTTTTGCTTTACTGTGATTCGAACTGCGTAGAATTAATTACCTTGGGAATGATTTATTGTATCTCCGTTTGTGGCAAGGTTATCACCACAAACCTTTAAAGGAAATGAATTTTTTCGGGGGTCAGCATGTTTCAGAGAAATATTTTTATCCTTAACATATCTTTTGCTTCTCTACACACAAAGAATTAATAGAAGGAGCTTTGTGCCAGCTGCTGGTAAACAGTACTGTCTGGGTATATAGAAGGGCATCAAAAGAAAATGGGAAATATATCCCTAGGAGGTGATTTTTAGTTTTCTTTCTCTTTTTTTCTTCTTTTTTTTTTTTTTTTAAGAAACATCTAACAGGTTGAGGCCCAGTAGTCAAATGGGGGGCGGGGGAGGGGAGTTATGGGATGGGGAGACGGATGAGGGGGCGGGGCGTCTGGTAGCCTTATTACTGGTGGTGTATGTAGAAGCAGGTTACAGCTGAGATAGGAGGATTATTTTAGAACAGGAGTTAGAGATCAGCCTGGGCAATATACCGAGACTTCACTGGAGTGGTAGTGCAGGCCTGTATGACCCAGCTACTTAGGATGCTGAGGCAGGACATTCTCCAATGCCAGACTGGGCAGTTGAGATCCTGTGCCAAAATACGAAGGGTTAAGGGTGTAGCTCAGTGGTAGAGCACCTGCGAGTTTGGTCTCCAGTATCGCTAAAAAGAAAAAGATTTTTTTTTCCTATTTTAAATTTGGGTATTTGGTACAGGGCCTCACTACACAGATTGGTCTCATGGTGAAACACCTGTTTCAACCTCCCCAGCGGTGGCATTACAGGCATGTGCCACCATGCCATACTCTGTCGCCAGCTCAGTGGACCCCTGTGGCGGGCTCAGCATGGCATGTGGGACTAGGGATTGAACCCAGGTTCCTGCGCTTGCCAAAGCAGGTACTTTGTCCACTGAGCTATCTCACTGACCCTAATACATTCAAATTTTAAAAATTGATACTGTGCAAGTTCACTTCACAAGAGTGAATACTCTTTGACTCATAAGAAATGCTGTTGCAACTGTAAATGTTGATCTGTTGCTTTAGTAATATAGGGGAAAGTGAAATCATAATTACACATTTTTTCCAACAGGCTTATTCTAGGGAAGATATTAAATTCTATAACTACAAGCTAACAAGAATCTTGTTTTTCAGAATTAGTTTGTGACTAGAATTGAATTCATTCTCACCTATGAGCAATTTTGTAGCTTGTGCTTAAGAGAATAGGCTATGTATGGCTTTGTAGAAAATTCAGTTAATGTATACAAAATGTGTTTGGCATTACTGTTTCTCAAAATCGCTATGGATTTTAGTTTGTTTCTCATAGTAATTCAGGTTTTTCTTTTTGATTGTTATATTTTTCCTGTAGCATTCTTAATTAAGAGATTAAGTATCGAGTGAAGCATCTGGACATTAGCAGGGACCTTACTTTGAACTTAAACTGGGATGTTATAACCTAATTTTGCTGTCTTTAGTTTTATCTAAATTTAACTTATTTTTATGGATGCTAAAGCCTTTAATTGAGTTTGTATCAGATGGGATTGGGGATATGGCTCAGTAGAATAAGCGCTTCCCTGGCAAGTGCAAGGGCCTGAGT